AACATTTGAGCAAGCAAAGCCGTTTCACTGGCCCCTTTGCAAACCCGGACCAAGTTCCTGCTTGCCAAGACACGGCGCCTCGCTGGGGCTGTTCATTTTTAATAGCGAGCGGAGTAAAATAGAATTTCTAATAATGTTGATTATTCTGTGCGCCAGGCCAACATGTTGCTTTTCTCTACACAAAGGGCGAATTTTCCAAGGATAACAGATTGAATTGAAAATGTTCTTCCGATTGCGACAACCCTCCCCACATTCAGACTCACACAGACTAGCAAAGGCGCACATGCTGTACAGTACACGATTAATAATTCATTTAATTAAGGCTATGCTTACCTAAATAACCCTAACCTTAACTTCACTAACCACAAGGAACCAATTTTCTTTTTAAGTTTTCAAATTAAAGAGGAAAAGACATGGTCCAGGCAAAATGTCTTCACGAGGTCAAGACAGATCTTCCTAGCCTTGAAGATATTATAAACATACCCACACACAAACATACACACACACACACACACACACACAGAGAGAGAGCGAGAGAGACAAATGAGTATTCTCTACGGATCCCATTTGAGTCCTCCATTAGCTTTGATGTTGATAGCTATTAAAAAGATTTCTTGCTTGATGTGTGTAATTAATGTTCACTCTTTGTTCTCGCTTCAGTGTTTGAGAGGAAGAACATTCACAATTCCACACTCGTTCGACTTCATATTCATAGCTGAGCATAATCAGATTTTCTTTTCACCCCCCACTCAGAGATGTGAAGAAAGCCATTTCCTTGATGACAGCGTGACAACATCGCGATCATCCAGCACTTTGGGAAAAAGCTGAAATGTTGGAGGTCCGTGTGATCCGTGTGCAAAGCGAGTGCTCCTTCTGCACAGTGGCCAGCGCTGACGCATTGGAGAAAGAAAGCAGGCCAGAGCACTCAACATTTTCATAAGGGACCTGAGAAAGAGGAACGAGTGGGAGATTAATGGTGTATAAACAATATGGAAGGGCGGATAAGCAAGGAGTCGAGTCATATGCACTTCCAGAGCAATTCCTGTCATTGGCAATGCCGTAAATCACTCGAGCCATTAGAGAGTCCGCTGAAAGGCTTTTTTTTTTCTCCCTCCCCTGAGTGGGTGTCATGAGTGTATGCTACCTGCCTTGACTATATACAAATGTCTGCCTGAGTGATTGAACATGATCTTCTCTTGCCTCATAAAGCACCGCTTGCTGAAGCAACGTACAGGTAAAACATGATTCATCTGTGTTACAAGTCACACCTGAGTACTTACAGCTGTGACAGATCAGAGAAGACTTAAATGGAAACTCCAGTGCAGCTCTGATCCTGTGGTGATGAAGTAGTGTAAATTTATATGCACTCACACCCACCCACACACACCCACACACACGCACACACACATACACAGACACATCATGTTGATATCCCATGATAAAAGACTTCATTTCCTCACAGGCAGACTGACTGCAACTCTGTGTGCCAAAAAAAAAAAAAAATAAATAAAAATCCAGAGACCACAGACTCATTAAACACAATGAGGCGGTGATTCACACCGTTCTATTAAGTAGTCTAGTAGTCATGGAAACAGCATAAGGAGTTAGTTGTTGCTGCTCGGAATTATGGACTAATGAACCTGTCAGGCAAATTTGGTAAACTTTTCTGTTTGAATTACTATTAGATCCCATAAAACAACGTATACCTTACTTCACATAAATCTCAGCTTTTTTTCAATCGGGCCTGCTGGATAATGTATTTCCTTTTAGTGTTTGTGTACTGTTACAACAAATTACTTCAACCGCATTGCAAGTTCCTCATTAGCAGTGAATACAAGTGCAAGCCACAAAACCACAGTGCAAAATGAATCAAATGCGCCGCCTTTGGTAAAGTGAGCTGCTTATTACAAAATACGCCGTTCATAAACAACAGCAACAGCAACAGAAATGCAATCGCAGCTTGATTATTTTACATGAAATCGATTCAATTTCAGTCCTCTGCTTAATAGTTTTCATCAAATCTTTTCTTTGATTAATTCTTTGTTTTTTTAAACCTCATTATTGACTTAAAATGAGCTTATTTTGGAACAATTTGTCCACTGTGACCTGATTGGAATAACATCTAAAGGAGAGGAAACAGCTTTTCCTCCTTGTCTTTTGTCACATTATGTTTGATTATGAATAAGATCTGTCATTTCTACAGCCCAAGTTCCCCAATACAACATTATGCTGCCACCTTCAAAGACAGTAACGCTGAGAGACGTGTTCCAGCGCTACTGCAGATGCTACGCTGCCACCCAACACCCTTCCCACCCCATCACCATCACCGTCTCCATCACAGTTTCCCTCCTTCCTCTACACCACGTAATTAGCACTATCAGTAAGAAGTGCACTTCTCTCCATAGTTTGACCCAAACCGGTCACGCTCGACCCGACCCTGCTGTATGGTAGAAAAGGGACATGCTATTTTTTAACTGAAATGAGACTGGGTGTACTTATTTTAATGTGGAAATATTTCAGTATGTGCAGCTAAGAGATTAGAGTAACCAAGAATGCATGTATTTTACAATTTGTCCTTGCACCTAATAATTACTAGTGCTCCATAATGATGTCATTATGAATCAAAACAGTGTTATGATGAATAGTGGCAAATGGCAATTTCAAGATTTTATACATTTATTATTATTTTTATTGATTAAAAAGAAAGATAAGATAAGATGTTGGGCCATCACGAGCCACCAGAACAGACGAGGGGAGATGCTCTGGAACTGTACTGGAGGAATGGACACCACTCTTCCGAAAGATATTTCCTCATTGTGTGTTTTGATGATGATGATGATGATGATGATGATGGTGGTGGTGGTGGTGGTAGAGAGTGCTGTCTAACACATCGCTCCCAAATCTCCCATAGATGTTCAGTTGGGTCGAGATCTGGTGAGTGTGAAGGTTATAGCACTCATTAATTTACATCACGATAAGTGAGCCCTCGTGTCCTGTAGATAGGGGTGGAGTCGTCCTGGAAGAGGCCACTCCCATCAGGATAGAAATGTTTCATCATAGGATTAAATTGATCAGTCAGAAGAACTGTAATGATTTGTAAGGGACAGCCAAATGGCCACTCATACTGTGGTATGGATAACTTAATCTGAAATTTAAGAGTTAATTGTTTGGCTTTAACATTATCATTCGTCATAAAATCACACTATAAAACAAGAAGACTTGCCGCCTATAAAATACAACCTATCAACATGTGCCCTAGTGCGCTAGAAGAAAACATTATATTTGGAATATATTGGAATAAATTACTTTCTGCAGCATATGCTGTATTTATTTACCGGATACTGTTTGAAGTAATGTGTAACATTCAGCACACATAAGGCTGGATAATACAACATTGTGCATTTTGGAGAGTATTTGCATTGGAACTCATTCAAAACAACTGGGACTACAATTGTCAATTCATGCTAACAGGGTCTCCATGCAAATTACAAGCGGATATGAGGAGGGGGGAAAAAACACACACTCCCTATCTCTGGCTTGAGTTTCACTAGAGTGATGCGTCTTTCTTATAATAAATAGCCTGCATGCTCTATCCAAGCAGCCCTAAAACGCCAGGAAGGAAAACTTACCGTGCATCCCAGATTTGTTTGCTGTTATTAATGGGTCAAGGAAGAAGCACATTAAATCAAGGCATAAGCGCCGATAGTAATAAAGAAGATCGCTGAGGTGGAGGACCTCAGCCAAAACAAACACGGCCATAGACACAGCAAGCCAAGAGCCCTGGCTCCCATAAACACTGCAGAGAGAATTAATATCTGGTCTTAATCTGTCATATCGAGGCTAGTGACCTGGTGCAAGCCTCTGCATGTCCCGAGACAGAGTGAGAGTCTCTCCAGAGGAACTAAACCCGGACGAAAGCCAAACTTGAAAAGAGCACTCTTTCTGCTGGATTTATAAGGAGAGAATCTGCATTCCAATACTGTTTTAAAACACACCTCATTAACATAGCCTCTGGAGTTGGAAGTGAATATCAACTATGTCACATGAAGCACAACTTTTTGCAGGAGAAAGCTGATTCTTTTTAATCGGGATGCATCTTGGACTTTTAATCTTGGACTTGGCAGCAAGCACAGAGTATCTGAAATCATTTCCTTGATGATTTGTACCATATTTTCGTTGAAGTAGGGAACAGTGGCAGTTCAGCGTGCTAAGTAGTGTAAGTGGGTCTTTCTTCTGCTGCATTCGACTAACCTCGGAGCTCAGTCATTTTTGACTTCTGTGCGTTCAAGCTACAAAGTGGATGCCTTCATGTTCATGTTTTGTTAGCAACAACTGTGATGAGTGATGTATATTTACCTCCCCGAAACAGTGAACAGTAGAAGTGTTATAGATTTAACAAGCAAACATGTCTGTATGTTGATTGATCTAAAGGAAATACTTGTACATACCGTATAACTTGTTTAAAGGTAAGAAGTGCTACTGTGTTTACTTTTCATGCTGTAGGCAGCCATGTTGATTTGATGTCACTTGCTGAACCACCGAGTTCCTGAGTAGGAATTCTAAGATCAGAGGTCGGAAATTACGAGTTACGATCTCCAGTCGAATGCAGCATTACAGTGCAGTGCCTTTTGTTTAGCTGTACTGTTTATGATATTTACATGGTATTGTATATGGTAAAATATAGAGCAAAGTCGATTCTAAAAGTCTACGTAAAACAAAACATTTCGTAAGTTTAACATAATGCAGTCTAGCTATAAATAAATAAATAAATAAATAAATAAATAAATAAAGGCACAAGGAGCAATCTACGGGGTTCAATCACCTTCCTAAATTACGGAGAACACTAAAGAGACCAGACATGAACATAATGTTACCATAAATACTAACTCTGCCAAATGCCTACTGAACACTGTTTGCTGATGTTTTTAAACGTAACTCAGAAAAATGTATCGTGACATAATATCACAATATCGATATTATATCGTCATAGTATCCAGAGGTGCCTAGCTAGCTCAGTTGGTAGAGGATGAGTCTCTTAATCTCAGGGTTGTGGGTTTGAGCCCCATGTTAGGCACCAAACCCTACCACTGGGGTCATGTGAGCTACTGTACTATCAAAACTGGTGATAAAAATGGGAGGATTGCATCAGGAAGGGCATCTTGCCTAAAACCTGTGCCACATCAAATATGCAGATGATTAAAAAACTAGATTTCCATAACGGAGATGGAGGATCTGCTGTGGCAACCCCTAACAGGAGCAGCCAAAAGAACAACAATCATCATATCACCCAGCCCTGGAGTCTACTACATTCTTGCAGATTTTGCTATAATTTAACTGAGTTTTTAATAGTTTTTGTTTAATATTTCTGTTGTAAATTAAAGAATGAAGGAGAGTTATGTGACTATACATGAGAATAAAATTAATACTACTCATATGTGTTTTAATCTGAAAAGAAATATGAAATAATGTGCTTATGAAAAAACACACACACTGCACATAATCTGCTGTACTAAAGCAAAAACATTTAAATGTAGAAAAAATGACAAATTCTCTCCGTATACAGTACAGTGCAAAAGTCTTAGGCACACTTTTTTTTAGTACAAACTTTGTTATAGATTTTTATTTTATGACTTCTACATTATCTACATTATTTAGATTTCCAAACATTAGTTTTCCAGCACAAAATTAAACGTTGCAGAAAAATGTTTGTATGTCAGTAAAGAAAGCAGCAGATTCCATAAGAGACACTTTTCAGATAAAAACATAATGAAGGCTGCTGGGTTTCGCTGCAGAAATAAGAAGCGAGTCGACAGTCAAAGTCTCCAGAAGAA